CAGCGCAACATTAACGAAGCAAGATGACGATAAAAACACTTCTCGTGTATCTCTCAGTTTGCTTTTAGATAAATTAATCAGAAATATAAATAATAAAAGTGACCAATCAATCAATCCAACTCTATTCTCACAGCTCATATTCACTTATAGAACAAGTTGTGACATCTTTAAGAGGAAAACTACAAGAAATAAAACTAACTGGGAAAAAACCTGCGACAGAAAAAGATGAAGGAGCAAAGAGAACAACAGGCGACGTTGCTCTTCTCCTCTTCATCACATCATCTTCATCGTGTTCTCGAGGAGTCAGGAAACTTTTTCTCTCCGTCGGCGAACAGGATGAGGAGGCGCTGACTCTGTCTCCTAGCAACAGGAAACATCTGCCTCCGCCTGGACCAATGAGGGCGCGGGGGGAGCGGCGCGCGCTGCCTCCCGGTGCCGTGGCCGTGGATATTTCAGGAGGATGCTTCGCGTCCTCCGTCCGTGTGTCTGCAGGAACCCACCGGGGGAGGCCACGACTTCAGGCCGAGCGGGAGCGTCGCTGAGTCGGTGTGAGGACGGTGGATGTCTCGCCGAGGATCGGAGAGGTTCAGGAGGGAGGGAGTGACTGAAAGGCTTTAACGGACATTGATCGGACATTTAAGGGACATTTCACGGATTTGTCGGCGGCGGCTGCAGCAGCTGCATGTTAAACCACAGCAGAGGTAAGTTTCTCTACGATGCTCGTCCTGCAGGAGACAGCTGGTGCTTTAGACCAACCGAAGAAATGCACTGGAACTAAATTAAAACATTTTAAAACCAAAGTGTTTCTGGACACAGAGAACAGAGAAACATTTAAAAACCTAAACATCAACGTTTATTCTGAATAAAACAAAACAATTCAACATATAAAATATGAACGTGCATAAATCTGGTGATTCTCCTTGAGATGAACAGTTCGTTCAAACAGACAGGTTGTTTTCTCACGACCAGTTTAGTGTTATTATCTGTAAACTATGAAATCTCTTTTAATCCTGATTTAAGTTTAGATTTCCTCTCAAACTTTCTTCTTCTGTGTTTCACCTCAGCTGTAATAAACGTGCTGGTGGGTTTCTGAAGGAGGAGGCTCACTGTGGATTTATGATCCAACACTAATAATTCTGCTTTTATTGGATGGAAGTGTCTGCAGCAGGAGCCAGAGCACGAACACACACACACACACACACACACACACACACACACACACACACACACACACTTCCCACGCACCCTCTCTCTGGCTCCTCTCACACTCGTCCATCATCCTTCTCCCACAGATGAAATATTCAGTTGGATGTTAAAACCGTGTGAGTCACTGCAGCAGCTTCAGGGAGCGAATGTTTCTGTCAACGATAAAGCTTCATGATTGATTTATGGCATTTTAAATAACACACACACACACACACACACACACACACACTCTCTCTCTCTCTCTCTCTCTCTCTCTCTCTATCCCCTCTGCTCTTTCATGAATCTAAATCAGCTTCAGGACAGAAGATTACTTGTGTTTGTTCATTTCTAAGTAAAAATGTGAATTTTAAAGGATCAGTTACACACTCGATGTGAAACTAAACACAATAAACAAATAAACACCACACTAACAACATATGGATCAAATCAGGATGTTTTTTTTAAATATTTTTAACATGAAATTAATTAATAAATTGATTTAAAAGAGCAAAAATACTAATTGTGAGAAACATAATGAAACAAATAAAACATTTAATACAACAGATTTATTGAGGTTTCTATCATTATGTATAAATATTTTTAAGATAATGTTTCTATTGGTTTTTGATCCAGAGAGCTGTCGTCCGCTTTTAGTTATATATAAAATCAGGAATTCAATATGTATGTATGTGTATGTGTATAAATGTATACATGTCCAGGTTTCACAGGTTGGTCAGTTGGTCAATCAAAGATTAACTTTTGACTCAGAATGGGACAACAGAGCATGTCCAGATGTTTTGGTCCCATCAGTCTCATCCTCTTCCTCCTCTTCCTCCTCTTCCTCCTCTTCCTCCTCTTCCTCCTCCTCTTCTCTTGATCTCTGGACTCCTGCAGGAGCCTGAGGGTGATGTGGAGGCTCAGATTGGATCAGATGCACTGATTCACCCTCGCGTCTCCAGAGCTGAGCGCCGGCTGTGCACCATCAGCAGCAGGTGACAGTCACGTCTACCTCCCCCATCTCCCCCTGCACTCACCCGCAGCGACCTCAGTGGTTCACAAAGTTCACAAAGCTAGACTTTTTAAACAGAACCTGAAAGCACCGTCATGTGTTTCTTTAACTGTGCATGTTTACGTTCACCTGACGTGACAGGGACCTCTAGTGGCCACGTGGATCATGACCCTTGTCCCATATGGACTCATTCATTTGTTTGAGTGTAAATTAAAAAACAAAGCGTTCAAAACATTTAGTTTATCCTCATTTCCTGAAGAAAACAGAAAACAAACATGTTGGTTAGTGTCTTTAAATCCCAGGTTCCGTTCAACTGACATCTAAAAAGTCTAGTTAGGCTTCGTCAGACTGTAAAACTTGTGTTGCAGAGCGTTTTTAATATTTAAACATGTTTCCCAGCCTTCCTTCTGTTGGATGTGTCGTCTAATCTCTGTTCTCTCGCCTGCAGCAGCCTCCTTCCCCGCGAGAGAGAGAACAAACCATTCAACAACGTCGAAAGTTGCCTACTTCAAGAGGAAATATGCGGAGGAGGAGGATTTACACGGAGGCCTACATGGATATTTTCAAAAAGTATGAACAACCTTCAGCGTGATTTGATTTGCTGTGTGAAGGAACTCTGAGCGGCCTCTGTGTTTCTGTTCAGTCGCTCCTGCTTATTACGTTCATTTCATTTATTTGTCATTTTCGATCGTTTCAGGACAGATATGATGAATCGTACCTCACGTGATAAATAGAGCTCAAACCTCCAGCGGTCCCTTTAAACGTCTCTGTGTTTGTCTCCTGCAGCACCTGATACTGCAGGAGGACCGCAGCTGCATCCTGAAGCTGTCCCTGGAGAAGCTGAGGTTCCTGGAGGACCCCGAGGCCTACCTGCGGCGCTCCGTCCTCATCAACAACCTGCTGAGGAAGATCCACCATGAGGAGGAGGAGCTGGAGGCTGGGGAGGAGGAGGAGGAGGAAGAAGAAGATGATGTAGAGGAGGAAGAGGAAGAGGAAGAGGAGGAAGTCATTGGGGCGAGTGGGCAGCGGAGGCTGATGTACCCGGACAGGAAGAGAGTGAAGGTGCTGGTGACGGACTGCTGCTCTCCACCGTTTGGCCTTGAGGACCTGCAGCACTACCGGCTGGTGCCCTGTTACCCTGCAGCCGGATGCCTGTACGGCCTGGGCTCGTGTCCGGGCCTCACCCCGAGGCACCAGGTGCTCCTGTACAACCTGGACGACAACGGCTGACTCCGCAGAGCCCTCGCCATCGGGCCTCTGTTCACCAAGTCAGGAGAAAGACAAACATGCACCGTTTGTTTGAGGACAAGCTGCCGACCTCTCCCCCTTCGGGGTCGCGTGTCCTCGGCCTCCTCTCGTCTCCTCGACAGGAGGCAGCAGCAGCAGATGGAAGACGCTGAGAAACCCTGATTCTTCTCCTGCCTCAGCATCAACAGGGTCGTTTAGTATCCGTGCGAATGTGAAGGACTCTGAGCAGGACTTTCGTTTGATTTTGATTTTATTCGTATTTGCTTTTCGTTGTAACTGTTGCTCGTGTGGACTCATGAGCTTATTCAGGGATTTACAGACCGCAGGCTACTTCTGACGCACCTCGACTCGTTCACGGACGCTTGTATGCTTCTGTTATCTTTCGATGCTAACGTGTGATTTATGAAACATTCTCCGGACCCTCGTCCTCTGAGGTGCTTTCACTGCCTGTGGGAGAAACGATCGTTTCTGGTTGTGTTCGATGTCCTGTGTTCATTCAATGGGCTCTTGCTTGTTTTTCATTTATTCTATCACTTTGCTGCCCTCTGCTGGTCAAAGAATTCCCTGGAAGCCCTTCTTCACTTGATTTGATAATGATGAGAAAAAAACATGCAGTTATAAGCAGATTCATTTTATTAATGTATTTATAAACAATATGTAATAAATAGAAGGTGTAAGGATATGACTTATATCCTCATGGATAAAGTTAAATTAATAATAAAGTATTTTTAAATGTCATAATTATTATTATTATTATTATTGATGTGTTCTGAATGAATACACTCATAAATGCTTATTATAGAGGAAGTGAAAGTAAAGTTGTTGAAAAGGATGATTTGTTTTTACTTTTGGTCGTTAAAAAAACGAAATGACATCTCGTCTCACGTTCTTCAGATCTCAGAGTCTAAATGTTTCTTCTTCTGCACCAAAAATAGTTTTTGTGAGTGAGTTTCAGCTTTTGTTTTGTTTGTTTGAAAGCTGAATATCAAAGAGCAGAATGTCTTTAAATTGATTCTTATATTTCATATTTTCTACTTTCAGTCCTGATTAAAAACAGCTCAGGGGACTGAGTTCTCTCTAAAACTGTCAGAAGATGTTTTATTATTTAATGTGGAGCAAAAATGTCTCTGTGTGGTTCGTCTTTCTGTGCGTCTGCAAGTTTTACTGCCTTTGGAAAATGTGCGTCCTGACAACAGTGAAAAATCAACACAGAGACAAAATGAAGGCAACTTTTAAAAAAAACTTCATTTATTAAAACAAGAATTTATATTTTGATGAAATTCACATTTAAGATAAACTATTTTGAAAAAAGGGCCATTCAACTTTTTTTCAGGTGATTGATTATCTAATAAAGTATGACACGTGACAATGTTTATAAGTGTGGTGCATTTTTCTATCCATCTATCTATTTATCTATATATCCCTCCATCCATCCATCTCTCTCTCTATCCATCCATCTATCATCTATCTATCTATCTATCTATCATCTATCTATCTATCTATATATCTATCCATCTATCTATCTATCCATCCATCCATCTCTCTCTCTATCCATCCATCTATCTATCATCT